TCCACCCCCTTTTCTCCTTAGGGCAAAGGTGTCTGGAAAGCTCACGGGACCCCACAGTGAGGGCGACAACACCATTGCACACTCCCTGTGGGGCGCCAGCCTCCCCCAGCTCCTGTGTAAGTCAGAGCCCTTGGAAGCTGGCGGGAGCGAGGTGTGCGTGGGATTAGGTCACACTGACTGGCATAAAGGGACTCGGGATCCACGAGGAAAACTGCCCCTTTGTATCCCCCTTCGAGGCTTAGGAGTGAATCTGAAGCCTTCTAATGACCTCCAGAGCCCCTCTTCAAACGCACCCATGGAGTGATAGGAAACGGGGCTCAGTCAGGCTTCACTGCTGGGCTCGCCGCGCCCTCGGGGTGAGCCCACAGCCCGGTGTCATCACCGAGCACAGGGAGAATTTACGAGTGGTGACCCGGTCCTTCAAGGGATCTCTGGCCCCGCCGGCAGGTAGCTGGTGGAGAAAAGCCTGCAGGACTGGGCCCAGCCCTCTGTTCCCATGACAAGGACGGCGTGGGGCCATGCAAGCAGGGCCAGCCGGGGCATTTCTGGGCGCCTGGCTGCCTGCTGTCATTTTCTGGCCTTCAAGAAACCCCCCCCAGCCATCACCTCGCCCGCAGACCCACAAAGCAGCTCAGGACCAACACAGGGCCACATGTGGCAATCTCGAACAAGTCGGTGAGAGCCAATGTTTCAGTTCAAACTCTCAGCTGCTTCGACCTTTTAATCTCAGAAATGGAGCCCGACTGGGGTGCAAGGGTCTCACCCTGTGCCCCCTACCCCGCTCACAGATTTCTGTTTGTTTCTGCTGTTTGCAGGGAGAGCCAGCCACTTCAAAATATCCATGGTTCAAGAAAATAAGCATAAATTCGACATCAAAACAATGGCATCAAAATGCACATCAGAAATCATAAGTCTCTGATGGCCTCTGACCCTCCCCCCGCCCCGGGTTCTCCCCCCGCCCTCTCCCACCCTCAGGGCCCTGGCAATCCCAGGGTACGCAGAGTATACAGCAAACGCCCTACAAGTTGCTCATACATCCTCACATTCGGCACAGGTCTCAGGGCCGCTCAGTGCTCACAGGCACCCACAGGTGCCCCGGGGACATGGGCCCTTCTCCTTCCAGACCCAGCTGGACGAGACCATAGAAGGGCACGATCAGGACTGTGCTGGCTAGAGAGACAGGCCGTTCAGACCACAGGAGAACAGGACCCTCAGGGTCCCTCTGGATGTGGTCTGGGCAAACTGGGCCAGAAGGAGCCTGAGATTTTAAACTGAGCTATTTCAGCAGGCACCCAGCTGGCTCGGTCAGTGGAACATGCAATTCTTGATCTCAGGGTTATGAGTTCAAGCCCCACATTGGGTATGGAGACTATTAAAAATATATATATATGGGGCACCTGGGTGGCTCAGTCGGTTGAGCATCATGGTCGTAACCTTGCGGTCTGTGGGTTCAAGCCCCGCGTTGGGCTCTGTGCTGATGGCTCAGAGCCTGGAGCCTGCTTCGGATTCTATGTCTCCCTCTCTCTCTGCCCCTCCCCCGCTCACGCTCTGTCTCTCTCTCTCTCTGTCAAAAATAAATAAACATTTAAAAAAAATTTTTTTAAATACATCAAGAATAAACTAAGCTATTTCATTTTCAACATGAAATGGGTTCACTCCATTGGCATTTAGTTACTATTAACCTCAGTATTAATTTAACATTAAGTCTCTTTAACACACTTTGCAAAGTAGGCAGTTGCTGTGAAACCTTCAGCTCTATCATCCTTTCCGTGTCTGGAGGGGCACAAGGGGAGTGGCCAAGCTCACAACTTATGATCTCATCTCAAGATTCCAGATTAAAGTTTAATGGCTTCAAATAATTGCAGACTGAAAAGTGTGCAGAAAGCCGGCGGCCAATCACTGCAGAGCTCCTGGCCGACTGGAAAGCTCCAACAGCACCCTCCACGCTGCATTTCTGGGAAGGAAGAAACGTGCTACGTAAATATGTCATCTGTTTGTCTGGGGCTGAGTGTGGTCACAGAAACGCAGCTCCACCTGGGCCTTGCAGGGAGCTGCGGAAGGGGCCGGTCTGTGCAGAGGCCCAGAGCCCCGCCCAGAAGTGACAACATCAGCCTTCAGCGTCGGCGAGGTGGGTCCTAAGGTTTCCCTCAGCTCCCTCCTGGGTCGCCCCAGGCTCCTTAGGACCCACTCAGCTCTGCAAGGAATCTTCGCCACTTACTAAAACCTCCGCGAGCAGCAGGGCTCCCGAGTCAGGTGTTCACAAGGAGAGGGAGAGGAGCGTTCAAGTGGAGGGAGCTCAGAGCCAAAGCAGAAGTGACCGACCAGGAAGGCAGGCCCCCAGCGTGTCACAGAGAGGACGGCACTCTTTTCCCCACTGAGCCAGTATCGAGCATCTACTGTGGACTCGGCACCGGAGACGCTCCCTGGACGGAAGCCACCATCCACGGTGTGCAAAAA